TTGATGCGCAATGCTTCGGTGCCGGCTTGAAAAGTAGAGGAGGCGGCGTTCTGCTCCAGCATGCTTACCGACATTACTAAGTTGAAAGAAACCCTAGATCATGTCATCCTGACCTCAGTCCAAGAAGGGTCCCTGTCACAGTCAAGCCGAGGTTTGCCAGCGAACTGGACAGTGCCGCAGCCTGGAGTGGTTTCAATGGCTGAGTTCAAGTGCCTCTTTCCGGAGCCCGAGGCAAGGACGTGCAAAGTATGTAAGTTCAGCCCAAGTTCAGCCGTGCGACGTCACTTCAAAAGTTTTCCATGATCTTTGAGGCCAGATCCTTATCGGTCATCTCGCTGTTCGCTGGCGTTGGCGGGTTGGATCTTGGCCTGCGACGGCCACTCGCTTGCCATTGCCACGCACATTGCCATGTCTGAAGGCTTGTGTTTTGTGTGGAGAGGTTGCTGTCATAGCCCAGGCTCGTGCGACCGGTGGCGTACGTGAGCATCCTAATCAGTTGCCGACTGTTGTTGCATTTTGGGAACTGAATTTGTTGAAAGTTGTGCCTGCATCCAAAACTCAGGTGGAGCGAGATGAGTTTTGTTCCTCCATCCTGCTTCAAAGGATGGAGGACAAGCTCTTGGCGGATGCCCCGCTGTTCCGCGACGTGACGGATTTCAAGCCGGACAAGGAGATGGCTGATGCGGTGCAAGGATTGGTGGGTGGATTCCCCTGCCAGGCAGCTGAGACATGACTTGTGTATTGATGATGCAAACCTTGTTGCTGGAACATGGACAGTTGTCATTGTACGGCCTGCTGACCTGCTGACTGAGGGAATCTGCCAGGGAGGGGCGCAGAAAGGATTGGGAGATGATCGCTCAGCGCTGTGTCGCCACTTCTTCAGACTGCTGGACCTATGCGTGAACGCGCTGCTCGTTGTGCTTAAATTAGGTTGTCTTGCAGCGTTCGACATGGAAGTGAGTCGGTCCAGTCCATTGAATCTGTGCGAACCTCTCTCTTCGCCAAGGCATTTTTTGGTCCTTGAAAACGTGCACAACCTCCTGAGCGTCAAGATGCGGCCCGTGATGGAGTATCTGCTGGAGGCCCAAGCCCGGTTTAGGTAGTTTTAGGCTTTAGGGTTTATCAGGCTTAGGTTTACATTTGGAGTCTGGAGTTTTTTAAGGGTTTAGGTGGCTAGGGTAAATAGGTTTAGGGTAGTTTAGGGTTCACTTTGCATGCATAACTTATCATTGTTTATGTCGGAAATCACTAACTGTCAGTCAGAGTTACTACGGGCATGAGCTGAAGAAGATGCAGTTCAACTTGCGATTACATGTGGGGGTTGTTTGAGAGAGAGAGAGAGAGAGAGAGAGAGAGAGAGAGAGAGAGAAAGTAAAGGTTCTATTTTAGGTATTTAGGTTTTAGGTCTTGGGGGTTAAAGAGCACTGCCTGGGCAGGAGCTGAAGAAGAGGCACTTCAATGTGCAATGGGTTTCGTGCACAGGGAGAATGGTTGGACTGAACGCGGGGTCCCCAGACAAGGGCTCGATTACAAGCTGAAATAATAAACCCTAAAGCCTAAAGCCTAAAGCCTAAAGCCTAAACCCTAAACCCTAAACCCTAAACCCTAAACCCTAAACCCTAAACCCTAAGCCCTAAACCCTAAACCCTAAACCCTAAACCCTAAACCCTAAACCCTAAACCCTAAACCCTAAACCCTAAACCCTAAACCCTAAACCCTAAATACACCTACGCCTGCTGCAGCCCCTCTTGTGCCCTTAGCCTTTTGTTTCGCTGGGCTTCGATTCTAGGGGCGGGGCTCTACCTTGGACCCTTAAGGTTGCACCCTTCTTAACTCAGGAGAACCTTTAGGGGTACAACCTTAGGGGTACGAGTCCCTTGATCGATACTTTGTAGACTAGAGCCTATCCACTGCCGCCGGATGGCGTTTGCGGAGTTCCTGCACCCGGAGCTGCAATCAGTGCAGAATGTCACCTGCCTCTTTTCAGTCGGCGTAGGCTGGCAAGCGCTGGCCCGCGAGCTGCTGGTGATTGCTACTCACGAGACGCACGTCTGGAACGGTGTCAGCCTCGAGGAAGCGGACCGACGTGCGGTGGAGTCTCGAGGCCGACATGGCAGCATTGGTCATGGTCCTTGGCTGCAGGAGCAACTTCAGGGCCTACCGATCCACCTTCTGGAAGAGTTGGCCAGTGATTATCGAGCAGCATTGCGCATCTTCCGACAGCCCCTTCCACCAGACCTTGCTGCTCCGTTAGTCACATGGCTTGGCACGCCCCGAGCAGGCTCTCTGAGGGACCCCCGCTTCGTGACCGCCGCTTTTCTTCAGAATTTCTACGCCAGCTTCCTGGACCGCAGACGACACCGACGGCTGGTCAGTGCCATCATGCGAGCTATTCCGCCGCAGGACCCCTGGCAGGGAGTGTGGTGCCTGCGCTTCCTTGACCATGAAGCGGTGCAAGCCTTGTCCAATTATGCCAGCGGGTTCGACGCTCGCCCTCTTTGCCAGCAACTACTTTCAGTGCGGTGGAGCCGGCAAGTACCCGTCCACCCTACGTGCTCCCCCAGGCTCCAGGCCGAGGCCTTCAACTCTTTCCTGGACTATGCCACCGAGCCGCTGGGAAGGACAGTGACAGCCTCAACTTCATCGACTGCCCCTTTGACGCGCCCCGCAAGCACCCGCCCTCTGGGTAATGTCTCTGCCAAAATGTTGGTTCGGGCGGGTCTTCGCTGCTCGGTATGCTTCGGATATGTCAATCGGCAGTACGAGCCCTCCTGTGGTTGTCGTCGAGGAGGCGAGACGGCCAGGCTTCGTCGTCCACAAGGGCCTTGAATGATGGTGGCATCTGCCTGCTGACAGCCAGTTTTGCACGGTAGTAACAAGTTCCTCAATCGTGCTCCTTCAACTCAGACTACTCACTGCACCCCAATTCTGGGCATAGGCATCGTTGGGCCCCTCGCCAAAAAACCAAAAGTGGGAAGCATGATTGTCAATCTTGGGTGGCTATGATGCAGCGTATGTGCAGATCAGATGTGATCGCAGGAAAACTGGCGTGCCTTGGGTTCAGAACGAATGAGATGTGTAGTATGTCATTACTGTTACTATATGTCGTGCGACCATGAAAACTGTTCAACTCTGAGGTCGGGCCTAGATCGTGAAATAGGAGCGTCGCTACAGCCCAACCTCTCCCGAAATGTCGAAGAAGTGTAAAATCCATGTTTAGGGTTTTGGGGGGTGTTGGGTTTTGGGTTTTGGGTTTTGGGTTTTGGGTTTAGGGGGGTTTAGGGTTTAGGGGGGGTTTAGGGTTTAGGGTTTAGGGTTTAGGGTTTAGGGTTTAGGGTTTAAGGTTTAGGGTTTAGGTAGGACTGAACCCTAAACCCTAAACCCTAAACCCTAAACCCTAAACCCTTAACCCTTAACCCTTAACCCTAAACCCTAAACCCTAAACCCTAAACTCTAAACTCTAAACCCTAAACCCTAAACCCCAAAGGCAACCGCAACCTTCACCAAGTAGTCAACCCCTAAATGCTCCATCAACTCAACCCCAACCCTATACCCTGGCCCGAGAGAACTCTAACAACATCGCAGGCCAGCCCCCGTTAAACCCTAAACCCTAAACCCTAAAGGCAACCGCAACCTTCACCAAGTAGTCAACCCCTAAATGCTCCATCAACTCAACCCCAACCCTATACCCTGGCCCGAGAGAACTCTAACAACATCGCAGGCCAGCCCCCGTTCCTGGGAAAGACGCTAAATCCCCAAACCCTAAACCCTAAACCCTAAACCCTATAAACCCTAAACCCTAAACCCTGTAAAGGCAACCGCAACCTTCACCAAGTAGTCAACCCCTAAATGCTCCATCAACTCAACCCCAACCCTATACCCTGGCCCGAGAGAACTCTAACAACATCGCAGGCCAGCCCCCGTTCCTGGGAAAGACGCTAAATCCAAAACCCTAAAGCCCCCAAACTTCACCCTAAACCCTATACTGCCCTACAAAATATCAAACTAAGCCCTTCGACAAAGGTCCTGCGCCGAAGAGTCTTCATCTTTGCGTGCAAGGAGGGCCACGTCGTGAGCAAGGACTGAGACGACCGGATTCAGGGATCTTCGGAGGTTGCTGTAGTTGAAGCCTGGTAATAAACAACCTGTCCTCCTGGACGGTCTCAGCAGTGACGAGAAAATTACAGATCTTCAGTTGTTGTGAAACTGCAACGGCAGGAGTTCAAGCCCAAGTCGGTTGCGGACCTCATGCAGGCATGCGAGCGGCCGTTTAACCCAGAAGGCAAGCCGCCTGTCCACACCTGGCTGGCAAAGGACAGCTCAAAGCTTGACAAGCGCCGTTTGCATGCTCTAGGGAACATCGTGGTTCCGGCGCAAGCCAGTCTTGCCATCGACTTTGCAAAGCACTCGCGCTTCCTTTTTGAGTGATGCAGCGAAAATGATGATGTCTTGTCCGATTCGACATCAACTTGATCAGATTGCCTCATTTTGGATTCCATGCACCTTCAGCTTCGACCTTGGCGTGTGAACTTCATTGCGTGTGCTTCTGGAAGGCTAAGGACATCATTGTGACATGATCATGTCAGTTTGGATTTGAAGCAATTACTTCCCCAGACGGTAGCAGCCGCATCACCTCAATCATAGACTTGACCCGAACTGTAGCAGCAGCATAACCTCAGTCATAAACTTAACCTGAACTGAATGCCATTCAACGTTTATTGGTCAGTTTGGCTTTGTAGCAGTTACTTACTTCCCCAGACAGTAGCAGCAGCATCACCTCAAGTGTAAACTTTACACGAACTGAGAGTCGTTCAACGTTTCTCGGACTTGCAGCGCATTCAGATGCTGATGTCACGATGATCCGATTTCTCTTGAATGTGGTTGCTGCTTTGGCTGTGATGTGGCGCATGGCAGTGGCACTGTGTAGCACAGAATCATTGTTGTTGCATTGATTCGCCGTAAGATTCACCCGAGGTTTCCGGCGCACTTCGCTTTGAAAGATGTCAAGTCGGTTCTTCGATGTGGCCGAGTTATCAGACGACGACGCTGCCCCTCGTGCAGACCATGCCAGAGGTTCGACGGACCTTGCCGACTCTGCCGCTCCTGCAGAACGTTCCCAGCCCTCACGGCCTGCAAAGTTTCAGAGGATGGCTGCTATATCCGAGTTGTCGGACGACGACGCCCATGTCAGGGTGCCCAGGCCAAAGGCTCCTCGTGCAAAGAGTTCACCAATGCAGCCGGACGTGTTGCGTGCAGTGGTGGCACGTGTGGTCCAAGGTTCCTGCAAACGCAAGGGTCCGGGGGGATGTAAGCGAAACTGTATGCTTCAGTTCCGCGACAAGACGGCTGAACTTGCGGCACTGCGGAGAAAGCTCAGAAGCTTGGACAAGCAGGATATGGACAGGGAGGCAGCTTGACTTGAAGAAAATGCCGAATGTACTTTTAATGTTTGGCTGTGCGTTGTCTGGCTGTGCGGCGAATGTGTAGTTTCTCGGCTTTTCAATCAATGTGTGTCGTGAGAGTAGCTACTGCGTGCTTTCTCAGAATTTCGCACTAGTTCAGTTCCTGGGGCCAGTCCCGTCGTGGCACTCTGACGTTAAAGTTACTGTCCCCAAGCTGAGGTATACCACATGCTCCGGTCGCCGCCTGCTGCGGCTGATCATGGTCAGACGAAACGCCAGCAGGTTTTGGGTCGACCAGTTTGCGCTCGTGCATTTGCCAGGCTTGTTGGTGTGGGACGTTCCAGACTTGGTAAGCTGCGCACGGCCGCCAAGAACAATGCTGGCGTCCCATATGACCTTCGGTACGTTTCCAAGAAGCACACCCACAAGCTCTCCGCTGCAACACGTTCCGGGCACGAGAAACGGCAGCTGGTGGTGGAGTTTCTGGAAGAGATATCGCAAACAATGGCGGAGCCTATGCCAACGGCAAACAAGCCACGAACGGAGCAAGGCGAGAAGCTGTACGATGGCCCTCCTCGAAAACGACTCCGTTTTCGACCCACAACAGGCAAGAGGCCAAGGCGGCGTGACCTGCCATCAGCGCGTGTCCCTGACAAATCACGCATGAGAATGCTGCCTCCCGGCACATTCAGCGACTACCTCATGCTGCTACAAGCCAAGCATCCAGACAAGAAGTTCACGCTCAAACTTTTCAACCAAGATCCTTGCAGAGGTCAGCACCCTTTCTCACATTTTTGTTTGTGCGCAGATGTATTCCTATAGTCAGAACAAGACGTGAATTGAAACCCTAAACCCTAAACCCTACACCTAACCTAAGCCTGTGAAGTCTTGGGGTTACTGTAGGGATTTTTATACAGGGAGCGAGAGATGTAGGTTTCGAGTATTGATGTTGAGGGGGTTTAGGGCCGTGTGTTTAGCACAGGCCATTGTGTGATGTCAGGTATGGTTGGAGTCTTTCGCCGACAAGCTGGCAATCCGTCCAGCGTCTGCGCATGCAAAGTGCTCCATTTGCGTGAAGCACAAATGCGTGATTCGCAAAATGGGCAACGATTGCTTACAACGGAAGGCTCAGTTGCGCATGCTGGCCCACCACCTGCACAAACAGTACCAAGACAGAACGGAGTATTGGTCATGCCGAGCCCGAAGCCGCCTACCTGCAACTTCAAATGGCCTGAAGTCTTTGACGATTATCGTGGATTCCATCGACCACAACAAGCTCAAGTATCCCAAAGCACCGTTCCTGGAGGCCAACAAAGACTTTGCCAGCCTGCAGCGCCCGCATCTCGACTTGACTTGCGCAATTGCGCACGGGCATGGCATTTACGTCTTCGCCTCGGAGCCTCACCTGCCGAAGAACGCCAATTGGCACATAGATGTCATTGGACACGTCTTGGAGCGCATCGGCTCGAGGTTCAACCTGCAGGAGACGGAGCTGATCCTGCAGGCGGACAACACGTCCCGAGAGTGCAAAAACAACGCACTCACCCGGGCGTTGTCCACGTGGGTCTCCGCCCACAAACTGAAGCGGGCTCAGCTTCAGTTTTTGCTCTCGGGCCACAGCCACGAGGATGTGGATGCTTTTTTCGCCCTGCTGGCGAACGAGCTACAGTCACAGCTCGACCGTGTGTTGGAGACACCTGGGGACATCTTGCAAGTTATCCAGGAATGGCTTGACAAGAATCCTCAGGTGCGGCCTCACGAGAAGGAGCGTGTGGTCATGCAAGTGGATGCTTCCCGGGAGTGGCACCTTGACGACTGCGTAGCAGGTTGTACTTTTTGTGTTCTGTCAGTGACACAAATCATTCTAAGACAATGCAAGCACATTGTGCTAGTCTCCAAGATAGGATAAAGGAGGCCCTTGAGAGGGAACCCTTCTTAACCCTCGTCTTCTGGCTCTCTTACATAAGGACCTTGAGTGTCAGTCAGTCAGAGAGGGTCTATATTTGCACGGGTCCCGGTCCCCCTAATAGCCTGCTTCCCCCTATAGTCTACGCCCACTCGTGCTGAGGAGCCAGTTCTTGCACGTGGGTTGCTATGGGAACCAGCTCAAAGGGATCGGTGGACCAGGAGCACCGCACGTGTTCGCGTTCGACCGGATTTCTGATTTGGGAACCTTGGCGGAATACGTAGATAAACCTAATACTAAGCCTAAGCTTGGAGCAGTCACCACGCAATGGAAGTCCTTTGGCCCCATGTGCAACAGTTACGGTTCCTCCGCTCGAGGCATGAACCATGCCGATGTCAAATGCGATTTCTGGCGACGACTGGGAATCCCTTTTCGTGGCAGCGATGTCGTTCTCAGGAGACTTAGATGCGACCTTCATTATGGCTATAATGTCTCTCATTACCCTACAATTTTTTGCAGTCCGTAACAGACATGACAGTAGACTTAGAGTAACCTGCCCGCAGGACCAAGTTTCATATGAGTGACAACAACTGGGGGCCGCCGCTACTTCATCTGCCTGCTGCGGTGGTCACGGAGATGGCAGCCGGGGGGCTGGTTCCTGAAGGTGGTCGAGGGATGTTAGTCGTTGCGTCAGGCAGTGCATTGTACGCGTTTCGTGTTGTGCTTGAACTCACGCGCACGTGCTTGCGATTCTTCGTAGCGCGCTGGGGACGCCATGGTTTAAAGTTAGGGTTTAGGATTTAGGAAAATAGTGCCTTTGGAGGTTCCAGGCTCCAGGGCCCGTGTGTAGTAGAAAGAACGATTCCATGCCCTGGGCCCTCCTCAGAACCGTGGCGAGGACTTCAACTCAAGCCCTACGCTTGAAACCCAACAGTCAACACCCTAAGTTAAGCCTACACGGGTTTCAGAGGGCTTCAGGGTCTTGGACTTGCTTGGATTGGTTGCTTCAGGGCTTCACGGTTGAACTTTCCAGGCCGTAACGAAGCCGCAGTTAATTCTCCGACGTGCCCGGGCGTTTGTAGTTTTCACGGTTGCGGGCTTCAGACTCTTGATTGGCAAAGTTTTTCAGGCTGTCCAGTGTTTGCATTTGGGCCTGGACTATCACACGTACGCCCGTAGTAATCTCCCTAGACTTAGACCCTAAGTTAAGTTGTTTCCCACTACTATGTGTTGGGGGCATCAGGCTTCCAGCTGCAGAGGGTTTTCGCATGGACAGGATGATCCCAAGTCGTTCAAACCCTAAACCCGGGGTAGGCACCTAGTTATTCTTGATCCCTCAAGACCTGCAATTTCCGCCTTAAACCCTATGCCAGACCTGAACCTTAAGCGCCCTTAAACCCTCCCCAACACGGTGCAGAAGCTGATAATATATTTGTTGCAAACCCTGCATCTCGAGCCCAAAAGCTCCTAAAAGCTCCTTAACCCGCGGTTTAGAATGGTTTCCACCCATTAAGCTTTGCGCATCATGCTACTTTCTCCATCAGACCCTGGGTGTACGGTTGTGGCAATTGATCGGGTCCGTGCTTTGAGGTGTGTGGTCTTGGTCACTATAATAAGGGGATTCGTTCAATTTCGGGGTTTGCAAGTTCAATATTTTGGGGGCTGCAAGTCAGTTTGAGCCTTTCGGGGATTTGGTTTTTGGGGTTTCAAGGGTTTTGTGGGAACTGTACAGGAATGTAAGGCTTCAGTCTGTTCTGGGGGGGGAGTGGTTAAAAAGTTCCAGGGGGTCGGAGTCAGTTGCGTGAGGTATTTTCTGGACCAGTCGCAGGGTTTCTTGGGTTGAGGTTCCCTCTTTGTGCAGGGATCGGGGACTATGCAATTATTGTGTTGGCCTGTATTGCTCTTCATGTCTAAATTAGTGGCACGTGGAACGAACATATTGCAGCACACCGCACTTGCATGTTTCGCAATCATCATGATCATGGGGTGCCACGATCTCTGGACCACGGACGGTGACGACGAGAAGTGTGTGGGATGATGTTAAAAGCCAAAGACGGTCGGCGACTCCCCGGGCGCATGACAACCATTTGCCTGTTTGTTTGGTGGCCGCGATCTGCAGGACGTGCAACGACATGATGAAGGTTAATTAATGATAGTTCATGACACGCCCGCTGTTGGAGGTTTGCGCGCCGCCATGAAGCATGTTTTAACGGTACATGTACCGAGGTCCTCATGGGCAGCATTAACGGACCCTTATATAGCTACCGCTTCGTTAACAGCGCAGGGTTTGTGTTTAAAGGTTTGGGGTAGTGTTTTGAAGTGCCCGCGATGATGTTGAAAGCGAAACTGTTTGCGACATGACCATGATGTGTTCCCTGCACGCTGACGCCCAAAACCAACTTGCCCGAGTCAGGGTTTAAGGGTTTAGGGTTAAAGGGTTTAGGGTTTAGGATTACTAGGGTCTAGGTTTAGGGTTTGGTCAATGCTCCCTGGCGCAGTCTTGGGCGAAGAACGTGAGTTCGATGAGAGGGCGGCGCAGAGCTGGATGAAGCATGCGGCCATCTTGAGCTGCTTGGCAAGGTAAAGGTTTTCTTCCTTATTTTTCGTGAAAAAATATTTTGACGGTTTAAGTGACCGTGGTCTAAGTTCAATTGGAGTGACAGGGTGCTGTTGGTCTTGCGTGGGTGGGTGGGGTGGGGGGGGGGGAGAGGGGGAGGGGGAGGAGGAGGGGGTGGGGGGAGGGGGAGGAGGGTGGGGGAAGGGCGGTGGGGGGAGACTCATGTGCCCCCAGCTGAGGACAAGAACCATATACTTTGCACAGAGCAGCTGCGCATCTGGAACTCCTGGCCACGGATGGTCTTCCAAGAGGTCCACCCCTTCCATTGACGAGGCACGAGAGGTACGTGACGCGTGACAGCCACCTGTAGCAGCCATAGCCGTGAACCCTGTAAAGACCATTCCTGACCAAGGCCCAGGGCAGTCGTGGAACCCTGCGACCAGGAACTACCCTGAGAATATTAAAATTGTTACCGGATAGCCCAGTAAAACCCTGCACCCTGAATCTGAACCCTAAACTTCAACACTTGCAAAGTCTATAAACCTTAAAATCTTCAATCTCTAAGACTTCCTAAACGCTAAATAAGCCCTAAACCTTTAAACCTTGAACCTCCAATGAAGTCGCAAATCCCAAATTGTTGGGAAGGATGACGCTGGCTCCGGGACCTGCTGTTGGTGTCGCGGGTGGAGGTGGTCCCGCGCGGGGCGTGAACTTTGATCATGCCACTTGGCTCGAAGTCTTGAGGTTGGTGAGAGGCACTTGTCACGGTCAATGCAACAATCGTGTTGTTGCAGCAGATGGGATGTTGCAACAACTACTGTAGTGTTGTTTATTTCCCAGGCCCCAAACCAAGTCGTACTACGTGCAGAGGGCTTGAAGAGGAGAGCGTTGGACCGATACAAAGTGAAAAGAAAAGAGCATCACATTTACCAAGCAGCAGCGCGACTTTGGGCATCTGGCATGCCATGGGCCAAAGCTTTGAACATCATCACTACGGCCTTCGATGCAGCGCTGACGGAGACCTGACACTCGGTGCTTCGTGGTGATGGTCACTTCTTTCACTTGCTTGCAATCACGAAAAAAGGTGGCTGCACACCCGCCGCAGTCAGATAATTTCGCTCTACCAGAGCCCTGTTCTTTGTGACGAAGGCCAATGGCCGGCATCATGAAATCCATCTTGTTTGCAGCAAAACATCATCCTTTTCAACGTTGGGTTTCTGTTCGATGTGTTTAACTGTACCAGGAGCATAGCATTTAGTGACTGTGGCCATTGGGTTTCGTCAGAAAAGGACCCCTGTTTCTGGACAGCCACATTTGCGACCGCAGAGGCTGAAAAATTGGGTGCGGCATGGACGTTTAGGAGCATGTTGTGGGGGAAAAAGCCAGAACATCGTGCAGTACACGTTTTTTGGCAATGTAGAGGGAAAAAAACAGGTTGTGACCACAGGGGGCGGGTTCAGTCAGAAAAATGTGCGCGCCCACTGCGCGTGTGCCGTGCCGGGGTTGGGGGGGGGGGGGGGGGGGGGGAGGGACTTTGTGACGGATGGTGTTGGCGTCAGTCACAAAACTTACGCGCGCACGTTTGGAGCCAGCTTTTGTGACGGATGGTGTTGGCTTCAGTCACAAAACTTACGCGCGCACTGCGCGTGTGCCGTGCCGGGGGTGGGGGCGGGGGTTTGGGGGGCAGATTTTGTGACGGATGGTGTTGGCTTCAGTCACAAAAACTTACGCGCGCACTGCGCGTGTGCCGTGCCGGGGGTGGGGGTGGGGGTTTGGAGGCAGATTTTGTGACGGATGGTGTTGGCTTCAGTCACAAAAACTTACGCGCGCACTGCGCGCGTGCCATGCCCGGAGGTGGGGTGGGGGAAAGTTTGGAGCCAGATTTTGTGACGGATGGTGTTGGCTTCAGTCAAAGAAACTTACGCGCAGTGCGCTCGCGCCATGCCTGGGGGTCGGGGGAGGGGGCGCGTAAGTTTTTGTGACTGAAGCCAACACCATCCGTCACAAAATCTGGCGCGCGTGTGCCGCGCCGGGTTGGAGCCAGATGTTCGTGACGGATGGTGTCGTCTTCAGTCACAAAAACTTACGCGGGCAATGCGCTGGTGCCGGATGGGAGGGGGGGAGGGGGGGGGGGGGGGGGGGGGGGGGGGGGGGGGGGGGGGTTGGAGCGAGATTCTGTGACACGGCTTACCTCCAGTCACAAATTCTTGCGCGCGCAGCGCTTCTGCCATACGCACGCGAGCACGGCGCGTGAGCCGTGCGCGCGTTTAGGGTTTGGGTGGGGGGGGGGGGGGGCACCTATTTTATGACGCATGGTGTTAACATGTGCACTGCGCGCGTGTGTGCCGCGCGCAGGGCTTGGAGCCACAGTACGTTCCACATTAAAACCTTACGCGTGCAAGCGCTCTTTGGAGCACTCGTGTGTGTGTGTGTGTGTGCGTGGGTGTGTGTGTGTGGGTGGGTGTGTGTGTGTGTGTGTGCACTGTGTGTGTGTGTGTGCACTGTGTGTGTGTGTGGGTGAAATTGTTCAGGCAGCACGGGGGGGGGGGGGGGGGGGGGGGGGGAGGGGGGAGGAGGGGGGGGGGGGAAGGGAGGGGGGGGACCGGAGTGTGTGTGGGGCGGGGTGGGGGGGTGGGGTGGGGGGGTGGGGTGGGGATGGAGGAACGGGGAAGGCCACAACTGTTTCTGATGTGGAAAGCGCGTGCTCGCGCGGCTTATGGGTTCCAGCGTAGCAAAACAATGTGTGTCTGTGTGTGTGTGTGTCTGTGTGTGTGTGTGTCTGTGTGCACTGTGCAGTGGCAGTTCATTGTCATGTCATGTGTTCCGGTGCACGATTGGTATGCGCAATCAAGATTCGTGAGATTTTGGTCCAAAGCCACTTCAGGAGGTCAGGAGGACCTCATTAGTCGGACTCCTTGGATGTCAATGCATGTTCAGATTTGGGAACGTGACTTAGATCCTTCCCTGGGCCGGGTCGACCCCCAGAGTGTCCATGACCTGGCAACTATGCCCGTGTATGGGACCGTGAAGGGCAAGAAGCTCTTAAAAAAACGCTCGAGTCTTAGCTAGTTGCGGAAACAGACAGCGACACCCGTTTCGAAGCCCCACTTTAAACTTCGTGTCAGTCATTGTTCTCCTGCAAGGTTTTGGGGAGCTGCAGAAGTACAAGGACCAGCCACTGATTCTGCGACTGATGGAAACAGTTACGGATGTCCTGGCTGGGGAGTATGCGACTCAAGCTGCATTTAATTTACGACATCATTTACTAAAGCACCTGTCGTCCTCACACAGCATGGCAAGTTGGACCAAATCAAATGCATGCAATGCATGGTGAGGACGCTGAGAAGAAGGTGGTTGGCAGGCTTTGCGAGAAGTTCAAAGTGCGTTGCTCCTTAGCCTTGAGAAGTACGAAATCAATGCCGCCACCCAAGTCGGAGTCGACCCATCCCTTCAAGAGATTCAAGGCTTCCTCCTCGCCAAGTTTCAGTAAGAAGTGATTGTACAGGCTAGACGAATTAGCGCAAGGCGGCGTTGAGCTATCAGCGACGCTTATCACCAAGATCAATTCGTTGCGGGTTGCTAGATCATCGACGCTTGCTGTCCAATCATCGCGCAGGGTACATTGCTGTTTCAGGATGATCTGCTGTGCAAGTTATCCAATGTGGCATGCGCTGCGATCTGCTGCCGCTGACGAACCAAGTTCAAGACGCTGCCACCGGGCGTTGTTTTTCCCCCATTTGCAGTGCCGCCATGACCAAACGCAAATCTGCAGACGGTCCAGGGAGGGCCAAGGCCAAGGTAAAAGTCGAGCCCGGCGCCTCGGCTTCGAGCCAGGACGCAGAGTCGCCGATGCCGTGGGTGGCGACGTTCGAAGGATGGCTGTGTTCCGGTTGCAGTGTTTTTTTACAGGCTGTGGCGGATTGAAGGTATCTGCATGGAGGTTAATTTCACACGGGCCGCGCGAGACTTTATTTTGTTTGAACTAAGGAATGAGGCCTTGAGGACACACAAGACCATCGAGAATTACTTGAACAATGCCTTCAACTCCAAGGACTTGCCATCATCGCGGGGCATTACTATACCTTTTAGCTCATTAACTTAACGTGTCGTTGTCGCGGTGTGTCTGTAGGAGAAGATGTTGCAGTTCTGTCGATGGACAAACGAAACCTTCCCTGCCGCGAACCAGAAGTACGTGGCAGATTGCGATTTCAAGAAGATCGGGACCGTGGCCTATTTGAGGCCTTGGCATTTGCCATTTACAGCCAATCTTGGCTTGAAGGGGCTACTCGAGCCAGCGACTTTTCTTAACAGCAGCCATGCATTTTCTGTTGCAAGAAGTTGCTGTGTTGATATTGGGGGGCCGGGCTGGGGTGCATCCTATGCTTCAGGATGCTCATTTCCAGCTCTGCCAACTTATATTGGCCAATGGGTGCCTTGAAAGCAGGTCCTGCAGTGGGACGTTTCAGAATCACTGATTATGCATGAAATGATATGTCAATGTCTCACGTCAGAACTGAGGTTCAACACTGATCCCACGGTCCCTGGGACGGAGATGCTGGCCATCGCAGCTGCGTTGCCACACGCAGGGTGCAAGCCACCGTGGCCGGTCGCAGCCTCCGAGATTCAAGAGGATCTCAGGGGATTGGTGGCAGCGCAGAACATCATGATGGTGAAGGGCTGGTCGCGGTCGGTGGCCGCGGTGACTATTCTGCGATGCGCTTATGAGTGCCGACAGTTCCGGGAGGACCTCTGTAGCGTGCAGGCTCTGCGTGTTGATTTGCGCCCAGTCGATGCAAGTCGCCTTCAGCCTGGGTTTAGGGTGTAGGGTCAGGGTTTAGGGTTTAGGGTGTAGGGTGTAGGGGTTTGTAGGGGTTTGGGATGTTGTGACAGGAATGGCCTGATTGGCTCCAGAAGCAGCCGGTCTTGTCTGAGATGTTACAACTGAGGCAGCTTGTCGCGCATTTTGCCAGGTTTTTTCCCGGTAGCCAAGGACATTTGTCACAGCCCATGCGACGGTGGCAGTTTCAGATACCACTGACTTGACAGAAATGGTGATGCAGAACAGATGCCACAGCCTTGGTTTGGGTCATGCATAATACGTGGACTGAGTCAACGTCATTTTCGGAGTAGGTGTGACGCTCCAGTCACAAGTCCGACGGCGGCCGAATGCTTTCAACTTGGTGTTCCAGATGCGCCTCATGAAGCGCCTCGAAAACCCCGACGGTGCGTCTCTAGAAGTTGCTCAGCAGGCATGGTGTTTTCTTTTTCTCTCACACCTCTTTCAGCCGGGCTAATAAGCGGGGTGCGTGTGTCCTGGCCACGTCCGGCTGTGTTTTTTTTTTTTGTGTTTCTTTTTGTTTTTTGGTTCGGTTTTGCGACGGCTGCAAGAACGAATGGCACGAATCGTACCATTCGTTCTTGCAGCCGTCGCAAAACCGGTACAGCCGGGTGCGTGTGCCTTGACCACGTCCCGCGCTCAGCGGGGTGCGTGTGTCCTGGCCACGTCCGGCTGTGTTTTTTTTTTGTGTTTCTTTTTGTTTTTTGGTTCGGTTTTGCGACGGCTGCAAGAACGAATGGCACGAATCGTACCATTCGTTCTTGCAGCCGTCGCAAAACCGGTACAGCCGGGTGCGTGTGCCTTGACCACGTCCCGCGCTCAGCGGGGTGCGTGTGTCCTGGCCACGTCCGGCTGTGTTTTTTTTGTTTTTTTTTGTGTTTCTTTTTGTTTTTTGGTTTGGTTTTGCGACGGCTGCAAGAAGGAATGGTACGATTCGTACCATTCGTTCTTGCAGCCGTCGCAAAACCGGTACAGCCGGGTGCGTGTGCCTTGACCACGTCCCGCGCTCAGCGGGGTGCGTGTGTCCTGGCCACGTCCGGCTGTGTGTTTTGTGTTTTTTTTTTTTTCTGTTTGTTTGTTGGTTTGTTATTTTGCGACGGCTGCAAGAACGAATGGCACGATTCGTACCATTCGTTCTTGCAGCCGTCGCAAAACCGGTACAGCCGGGTGCGTGTGCCTTGACCACGTCCCGCGCTCAGCGGGGTGCGTGTGTCCTGGCCACGTCCGGCTGTGTTGTTTTTTGTTTTTGTGTTTCTTTTTGTTTTTTGGTTCGGTTTTGCGACGGCTGCAAGAATGAATGGCACGAATCGTACCATTCGTTCTTGCAGCCGTCGCAAAACCGGTACAGCCGGGTGCGTGTGCCTTGACCACGTCCCGCGCTCAGCGGGGTGCGTGTGTCCTGGCCACGTCCGGCTGTGTTTTTTTTTTGTGTTTCTTTTTGTTTTTTGGTTCGGTTTTGCGACGGCTGCAAGAACGAATGGCACGAATCGTACCATTCGTTCTTGCAGCCGTCGCAAAACCGGTACAGCCGGGTGCGTGTGCCTTGACCACGTCCCGCGCTCAGCGGGGTGCGTGTGTCCTGGCCACGTCCGGCTGTGTTTTTTTTTTGTGTTTCTTTTTGTTTTTTGGTTCGGTTTTGCGACGGCTGCAAGAACGAATGGCACGAATCGTACCATTCGTTCTTGCAGCCGTCGCAAAACCGGTACAGCCGGGTGCGTGTGCCTTGACCACGTCCTGCGCTGAGCGGGGTGCGTGTGTCCTGGCCACGTCCGGCGTTTTTTTTTTGGGTTAGGGTTTAAGGGTTTAGGGTTCATATGAATTTGGGGTTTGGGGTTTCGGGTTTGGTGTTTAGGGTTTACAGTTTAGGGTATAGGGTTTATAGGTTTTTTTCCGCTTCCGCATTAATTAGGGTTTAGGGTTCAGGGTTAGGGTTTAAGGTCTCTCCCGTTTTTCTCCGCGTATCTGAGGTGTGGGCACAGGCCTCCAACATCGCTGAAGTGTACAAAATCGGCAAATTGGAGTCGAAAGCTTGCTCCAACCTACTGACCGAAATCCCGACCAACACGGGGAACCAGCTGGCGCACCTGGTGAAGCTAACTGGTGATAAGTCGCGAGACCGTCTCGTGCTGCTTTGCATTGTGATAGATTCAATATGTTATAAGCACCGAGTCAATCCGAGGTTGCACTCGATGAAGTTCATCACACACGAAGCATTGGCGGGCGGTGTCTTCAACAAAGGGTACAGCTCAGCAACGGCTGCGCAAAGCGCTTGGGCACAGCACCTGACCAACGACGATGCGCTGCTGGAGATCTTATTGAAGAGGATGGAGCAGGACTACCTGGCGCTGAACAGCAAGCTTCGGAAGGCATGGTCGCACAAGGATGTCGTTCCGCGCTTAGATCGGATGTCATACTGTGCTTTGTCTCTTTTTGACAGCATCACTGACGGACTCACTCGGGGGGGCATGTAGGAATGTGAAACCGTGGGGCACAGGAAACCTTGCATCGTGCGTGCGGCATGTACCTGGCCTTCATGGAACACTTCGAAAAGCACTACCCGCCCGAGTACGTCAAAACGCAGGCCGAAGTACACAATGATACACACAGTCAATCCAGAGATGTAAGAGAAACGCATCGTGAGACATTGGCGCACAGAGTGGCGCACCAGGCGCCTGGGTTTCCATTTCAATCCTCTGGTTATCTTGTTCTTGTGCAGGTTGATGCTGTCATGGCCGGGCATCCGTGGCAGCACTGGTTCATGTTTGGACTGACACTGTTCGTTGTGTTTGGAGACACTTAAGCTTATAAAATGTGTTGTGTCGTGCTTTACGCTGGGCTGGCTGATGAGGTTCAGTTTACGGCATGCAGATGCAGAGCTACTACTCGCGTTGGATCAGAGCGCGCCCCCAGTCGATTTGAAGCGTGTCAGTATCTTTCGCACGGCCGTGTCAAAGTGGGAACACAAGGCAACATGGCTGCGGGAGAAAACCTGGTCAATTAACGTTGTGTCTACAATCTACATTATGATATGATGAATAATTATCGTTTTGCTAGGCGGAGGCGGACAAGATTGCCAGAGCAGAGGAGCTGCTTGGCAGCAACCAAGCAAGTCACACGACAGATTGTCGTGAAGCACATTGACATGTCAAACGAGCTAGAAGCCCCATTGAATGGATGCGCTGAAGGGCGGCGGATGCTTTGGCCAAAGCATCCTTTGAGAACCAGAAGCAAAAGGTGGAGGACGATTTCAAAGCCGTGACAGACTACCTGCGTGAAGTCAAGGAGCACTCGTCACGACAGGCGTCAAGTGTAATTGCCCAAATTGATGCAAATACTAAGTCTGGAACTGTAAATGAAAATTGCTGTGACAGGCTGGATTGGACATGAACTACTTGTCGAAGCGCTACGAGAAGGGTGTGGAGGAAGTGTCAAAGTGGATGAAAACCCACCATCGGTACCTGACGCTTTCCGGTCCATCCGGGCTGCGCGAAGCGCAGGCTGATTTGTCCAAAATGCAGAAGGAATGTGGAGAAGGGTCACCGGCTTAGCGGCGATGTATATAACTGATAAGTCTGCATGGCGTCGTTTGGCAGCTGCTATGCACATGATGTAACATCGAGTAAATTAAAGCAAGGCTGACAATCATGGTGATGGATTGCTCAGTGTGGCCCAAGAGCCGTTACCTAGTTTGATTCATTATGCGGTTTACCTTTTTTGTGCAGCCTTCTAATGCCTTCTACTATTCCCAGTTGACCCAGGAGCAGTTTTGATCGATGAGGGGGTGGACTTGTCTCATTCCATCTCGTGCGCCGACCGGGGCGCGGTGCTGTTTGGCTTGTATCCAATCGCGCACGGCAGCTCCGACAGGGCTACCATCACTAAGTACAGACGCACTCTGGAAGACCTTCTCATGGCGCATCTAGAACGCAAACAGGTTTCAAATTCAATTTCTGTGACTGGCAAAGACCGTGGCCATGACAGCGGTGCCATATCTGTAAGAGTTGTGGGGTTTGTGAGACTGGCGATTTGAGGAGCATGGATCTGCACGATGTGTCGCTCAACTTTGCAGATTCCGCCCACGCGGGTGACAAACGAAAACGAAGCCAGGCGTGCCACTCGTCAGCATCTGTAACTAGCGCAGGACATTCCAAAGCACAGCGTGTCATCATGGCGATGGCCATATATGGACTGAGGTTTCATGGCGGCCAGCCCCATTCACAAGACTTGGTCTTTCCAGAAGAGCAAAGCCTTAACCGGTCTTTTGGGGCCAGTTCACCGGGCACGGGTTCAAGATCTCCTCGGCGAGGACCCAGACGCTCCGCCTTCGCCTTTCGCGCGGGAAGCTTGGCGGCTACAGTTAATTTCAGCTGCCACTCTTAGCGTGACGTGACTGTCAGTGTGACTGTGCTCAGCTGTCTTGCGTCTTCGAGGCACAGCAGCGGGGTGTGAAATGCACCAGCGAGATGATCAAAGGCCTGGTGCAAGGTGTGGACGAGTTGCAAGCGGATGGCAAAGTGTACGTCGTGGACTTGACGGCCAACAGGCAACGGTACGTGGGCCTGGGATAACTTAAAGCATTTTGGTGAGCTCCACTTGATTCGGCAGGTTCAATGAACTTGGGCGCGCGGTTTGGAAACTGCAGCTGGCCTACAAGAAGGATGCTGAGGAGAAGACGGACTGGAGGTTCGTGAGCTACACGACGGAAGCTGATGTGGAGCCGAAGTGCAATGACCCAGCGGTGAAGGAGGCCGCGTTGGCTGGCCAAATCATGGAGGACTGTCGTCTCAGCCCGTAACGTCGTGCCTAAAAAATTAAAAAATATATTAATATATATATATATAATATATTATTTTGCTTTGCAAACTTATGTGCAGGAGTGGTGGGACCACTGTGATCAAGCGGGCCCAGCTACCCGACCAGCGACCGGGCACGGGGTACAACCACCAGCTCTGAACATACTGACGCTGCAGGGGCAGACCCTCACGCAT